CTTAAAGTATAAATGCAACATAATTCTTTCAAATCAGATGTGATAATTTTTTAACATTTTAGGTGCTTCACGAAACAAAACGCAAGAAAAAGAATATTATGCAGAGCACTAATGAAGCTCTTCACTACTTTTTTGTTCTTCTTTAAGCCCAAATTAACCTGCTCCTTTCAGGAAAAGGGATTCTCTCCTGAGGAAGTCACACAGGAGAAACAGAACACCTAATAATTTAGTGTCTCAAAATTATTCTTTCTCTATGGGAACAATCTTGTTTCAAGCATAACATTCCCAGTTAAAAACTACTAAATTTATTTCATGAACCCCAACTGAGAGTGACTCCATATAGGCAGCACAAAGATCCTTATAAACCAAACATATTTACTAAGTTTAGACAAATGGAAATTATGGAATGTACTTGTGTTTGAACTAATACAGTCAAAGCACATTTAAACGACTGCATGCATTTGTGATTTTTTTTCTCCTCTGAAGAAATAGGGACATGAGATATGTACTTTTGCATTCTAATAAACATCATCATATTAAATGTGAATGCATAGAATTAAGGAATCAAACTTGGAAAAGGAAGAAAATAAATCTGGAACAGCATTGAGCATTGTAGTTTTTATAACAGTATTTGTATTAAAAGTCTTATTTGTAAATAGAGAACACTTTCATATCTCATGAATATTTCATTTTTTTGGGGGGTAAATTATTTATTTTGGGATGTGAACAATGGAAATTACAGTTAGAATTTTCCATTGGAAAGACATCAGTTGGACAGGGTGCCAGCAAAAAGATTTATTGGCACGCAGCAATTTCCAACTGGAAACCTTTAGCTGTGTACTTATAACAAGACCCACATTCCTGTAAAAACATCACATCTGCCAAATGAACTACTCAGCTTCAGAAAGAAAATATATATTAAACATCTAGAAAATATAGTTTGACTTAGAGATTGAATTATAATCTTGCTTGGTACAATGGTCCTCTTAATATTTGCTCTAAAATAAAAGAAAACCAAGTTATTAGGATCAGAGTTGAGGGGAAGGAGAGTAAAATTACATCCAAGCAGCAAGGTGCATTATGTCTCTAAAAATGTACATATGTAGAATACAATATATTTACTGAGAGAAGATGTTTTCATTTTTACTGTAGAAAAACAGTGTTAGAGAATAATTCCCTAACACATTGTACCTGCATTCAGCTGACATTTAGAAAGGAATTTTCATAAAAACAACTGTTAAATTTCAGTAATTCAATAAACCATTTTAAGAGATTAAACTTTCCTTGCACTCTACATCACTTAGCTTACAAGGATGATTTACACCAACTGCAATGTGTTAAACTTATCCCTTGCTTCCTTTGGTTAGAAAGCAGACAGGAGAAAGGAAGACATGATATAAGCAATCTTTCCTGACACCCACCTAAAGGAATCAATAAGGAATTTTAAAAGGTATGCATTAAAACAGGTTCTCTTATTATAGAATTAATTCTATGGGAAACCACGAAAGCATTTTAAATGGGGTTTTGTTTGTTTTGTGGTTTTTTGTCTGTTTTTCTTTAACTCCACATCGAAGTCTGGCAGAACTATAAACCCATGAGTGTGCTACACATCGTCCTTAGGGTCAACAAATGCAGTTTTACACCTCAAACTCACTTGCACTATGTAGAAGAGACACATATTGCATTAATTTTATGACTTGAAGGAATGAATTATATCCTGCAGAACCTCCCTATTACTTTGAAATAAAAACAAGAAGAGAAAAAGAAGGGTTTGTTATTTTAAACTGACACCACGAACAGTTAAGGTAAATTCAGTTTTGGGATTGAATTCTGGAAATTCAATTCTGACAATCCAGAACAGCCAAGACGGAAGACAAAATGAAGACTTGTCTTATTAGTGTCATCTAAAACTACCGAGTCACTGTTTCCAAAGCACCATTTATTCCATATATGAGAGACAGTCTATCACATCTGTGAAATACGTCTGGCATAAAGATTAGAAGTCCAGAAGTGGATTTGTTGCATCCCACCTCTGAATGACCTTCCTGAGCTCCCTTGCCTCTGTCCAAATCTCCCTTAGAAACCTTTACAGTACACAAACACACTAACCAAAATTCTCAGCAAAATCAGCCACAAAAAAAACCCCTTTACAAATTCCTATTTAATATTCAGATTAAGCACCATTTTGAAAATCTTGCACTAGATAGCTTGTCCATGACTAAGATTCAGAAATAAAATACAGGATGGAGCTCCTCATCTCCTGAGCAACTTATTTGCTCCTCTGAATACCTACTGCTCTCAGAGAACAAATATTTTTTTCTTCAGAATTTAGTCTTTTCTATCCATCATTTAAAGCTTCTTCACTGTAGCAGTGCTAAGGTGATTGAGTCAATGGACACTTAGAACTTTGCCCTTAAGAAAATGTATAAATCTCTCAGAAGCAAATATTGCCCATACAAACAGACCAATCTGAATAAAACCATCCAGTGAAACACAGCTGTGGCTCTCCTCAACTGTCCATGTGCAGAAAAAATGACAAGAAGCCATGTGCTAATACCTGTTAGTAATTTGAAATGGCTAGTTATTTAAACACCTCTTCAGTGTCCAGGTGCAAACATTCCCCACCTAATGAAGGCAGCTTTTCCGCATTAAAACATAATTATAATCAGAACTGCTACTGAATTACTTTTAAAGCAATTGAGAACAATTCCAGGAGAGCAGGTAGCCTGACCATCCTGTACTTACACTGCTTTTCATTAAATCACAGTATTTTAAACAAAGTAGGTCATTTCATAAGAAGAAATTCTTTCACAGAATTTCTTTGTTCTTAAGTCTTACAATATTCCTGCTGCAATCATAGTAATTATTAATTTGACAAAGTAACTGAAATAGAAGATGCAATTTTACCTGGTGCTGCTACTTCCCCAAAACTCCCCCCCAAACTGTGATTTATCTCCCACTGTCTGCCATTGTCAATCAGCTATACACAAAGTTTATTAAAATGCATAATGAGTATTGAAGAACAGGTGAATTCAGATTCCTATGGAAGGGACCACAGAACAAAAAGTAAGAGTTTGCTAGGATAATCACAATAATGAGATGGGACACATTCATTTCACAATAACAAATAATAAAACCTATTAAGTTATCAACTTAATTTTTTGCAGGAGATGGGGGAGACTGTGGATTAAATTTAGTTCACCTCACTCTTTTTTTTTTTTATTTTGCAGTATAAACTGAACATCTACCACAAATGCCATAAGATTGCTAAAAAAATCTAAATGTAAGCAGAATTGTGTTTAATCAAATATTTTCCCCCGTGGCATAACATTAAAATATCTTCTTTTACAAGATTTTCTAATTTCTCTAACATTCACTGAAGTAAGAAGCATTCTGACTACAAATAAAGAATAACTACGAAGTCATGGGCAGATAATTACAGACAGTAAGGTACAGTTAAGAGAAAATAATCAACATTGTCATTATTCTGTCCAAACTAGTAAATTCAGTGAAGAAAATAAACACTTTGCTTTGGATTTCAGCTACACCAGTTCAGCAATAGATGAATATAAAAGTATACCAAAATTTTAATTATAATACTGTTATTCAAGATAAACAGAATATGGAAACCAGATTTTGACAAGGCTCTGGTGCCATTATTTTGCCTTCAATGAACACTGAATTTTGGGGGGAAGGGGGGGAACCCAGACAGGTATCATGGTGCTTTTGGTATAGGTAACTAACACATATTTAAAGAGTTATTTCATGAAAATGCTAAACAGTAATTCCTCTGGGGGGCATTTTAAAGCATCACTTTACTCAAGTGAAATAGAGCATTTCTTAACCTTTGCTGATGGCTTGTATCTCAGCAATATTTGGAATTCTGTCATATATACACAAATATCCTATGTTCTATACCTGCATTATATTTGCACAGGAGTTACTGGTGCTGTTTGGAGCATTTATAAAGTCACTACACAGATGAAAAGGTTGCTGCCCTGAAAACCAGGCATAAGAACTGCTGAAATTTACACGGACCCCTCGAGTTTCACCCCTGCAGCTGAACATTCAGCCAGTGGGAGAAAATAACAACACTTGGACGGCACGAAGAAAAAAAACCGAGTTTTTGGTATTTATTTTGATAGATCAGAATAGACTTTCATCCCCATTTCTCTCCTTTATAAACCTGTTATTTCTTTTACCCGTTATTTCTTTTACCTGCTTATCAGTGCCTTTTGCCTACAGGCTGCCTGCCCGCTCTGCTACACCAGTGTCCCTACAAAGATACAAAGACGGGGTTTGTCACCATTTGATGACTCCGACAGAAGCGGCTGTTCAGGGACTGAACCTTGTAGGAGAGAAATCAGCTTCACCCGGCTCGCTAAACGACTGCTATAGAAATGCTAGCGGCCCCGATCAGCCCTGTGCCGCTGTGAGCTCGCCAGCCAGGGGTCCTCAGGGGAAGGGGTGTTGGATAGGGACCGGGATGGGGAAGGCTGCCGGCGGTACCTGCACCAGGGCCGCCTCCCCGCCCCGGCGTCACTCAGCTGCGCCAGCCGCCCGCTGTAGGACCGCAGGGGCGGCCTGCACGATGCCTGAGCTCTATTTCGTTCGGGTCTTTAAAAAAAACCCCAAAAAAACAAACAACTACAAAGAAAGAGTTTAACACCCTTTCCGACCCCCCTCCCCGCCGTGTACGCGCGTGGTCCGCCAGCGCTCTGGGAACAAGGCGTTGGGTGCTCTTTAGCCCGGTGCTTGCTGAGTGCAGCGAGGCCTTTCGCGGGCGCCCGCTTATAAACCTCAGGCGCTCGCTGGAGCAGCCCCGGGCAGCGGGTCCTTCTTCTCCGCTCGGGCGGCAGTGGCGGCTCCTGGTTCATGTGAGTGTCCCGCGGGGGCCGCAGCGGCTCTGCCTCTACCCCTGGTCTGCCCCTGCCCTTGGCTCTGCCCCAGGCTCTGCCCCTGCCCTTGGCTCTGCCCCTGGTCTGCCTCTGCCCTTGGTCTGCCCCAGGCTCTGTCCCTTCCCCTCGCCCGCTCCCAGCGCCCCTACGGGTGCCTCACCCCGGCAGTCCCTCGCCAGCCGCCAGGCCACTGGGCCGTGGCGGCCTCACGCCCTGGCGCTCCCCCGGGGGCCGGCCCGAGCTCCCTGGAGTGGGCGGGGGGGGGGAGCCTGGCAGGGCCCCGCTAGTTTGCTGCTACTAATCGTCTCCGAGCCGCCAGAGCTAACGCAGGTGGGCTGTAGCAGGGATTCTTTGCGGAGGGGCAGGATGGGAGCCGCGAGCTGCGGAAAGCGGCGCTAAACTCGTGGTTCAGTTCGCGCGTGGGATTTGCTCGCAGGGCTCGACGTGCTCTGTGACTGTAGGGCGGCTTTGCAAACGCAGACGCCGCGCTTTGAGCGGAGGACGCGCCTGCACCCGAAGGAGTCCATCCAAAATCAGTTGTGTTCGTGCATGCAGCCCTTCCCCTGGAATGAGGGCTTGGAAGAGGCGTGATGGTGGGCTGTTGGAGGAAACGCTATAATAGCCTGGGAAGTGCAGGCGCGGAGAATCTATGAGCTTTGCACAGGAAAGGCTGTTACTAGTGGGAAAGTAAATGCTGCCTTAGTTTGGATTGTGGAACATTCGTTATGCCTTTCAATAAACTTCACTGAGCGAAAAGTTCAGTATTTGGTCCATCCTCAGTAGAGATACTGTAAAGTTTTAACATACAGCGCATACTGTATTTGGGAATGGATGCAGTGGATAACAGGGGCGAGCTTATGCGTTATTGCTTGTTAGGTCACATTACAAGTGCACAGCCAACCAGCACATGGCAACACTGCTAAAGTGCTGTATAACCTTAGGCTGACCTGTAAGGTTCTCTGAGCTGGGTTTAGCAGCTGGCAAAATGAACAAAATACTGCTGCAAACTAAGTAATATTTGCATTTCTTGCTCTGTCTGTTTCTTTAACTCAGAAATTTATTTTTTTCAATGATATCATTGCTTTTCACAAATAGTTTTGTGGTTCAGGATACTTCCATGAACTCTGTAGCGAGGTGAGGCAGCAGGGATTCAATACAGCATCCTGGCTTTGTATGTCCTTATGATTCACTTGCTGTATTATTCTCCAGTTACGTTTAAATTTTATTATGCTGTTTGGCAAACCTGTTGGAAGATAAGTCCAAAATCTGTAAAATCAAGCAAAACCGAAGTCCCAAACCTGAATTTTTAATACTGGATATTGTTAAAAATTTTAAGGCCTTAAAAATGGGTTAGTAAAGTGATGGAGTTTTTGTTTGTTTGTTGGGGTTTGGGTTTGTTTGTTGTTTTTTGTTGTTGTTGCTGTTTGGTTTGTGTTTTGTTTTCTTAGCTAGCCTCAAGGGTCATTGCTTATCAGTGTCATAATATATTTTCTCCACTCTGTTACAACTTAACAATATATTCTTGTTACAGCAATTTTGACTTAAAAGTATTTTAAGCAATATATCTGTGAGTTGCTTTCATGTTTTAGCTCTACTGGATCCTGAATGTGCAAGATGTTGAGGGCAGAGTGATTTAAGTCAAAATGATTGTTAAAACCATTTTCAGCAAGCTTCTGCTCAGGAATGTCTTTTTCCAGTTGTTAGTATGAAACTTGTGCATATTTTCTCTATATTGCTATAGCTGTATTCATTTCTTTTACACCTTTAAATGTAAATAGAGAAGGAAATAACTCTTATTCCCCAGACTGAAAGCAGTGGACCGTGTGAAGAAAATGGTATCAAATGAAAAAGGGTATTTGCTTAAAACAGTCCATCAGATTGGAAATAATTGGGCTCTTGAGTTGCCTAGGGCCTTGAGGACTTGATGCCTCTGAATGAAGCATATTTGAGTGGGAAAACAGTCTGAAAAATAAATTTAATGCAGCAAGGTGTGTTTATGCTGCTTTGACATCATTATAACTCTCAGTAAGCATGAATTTAACAGTGGTAAGTTAACCTAGGGCCTCTTTATTGAAGGAGGGCTAAACAGTCCATGGATATTTCTTCATTCTTTTGATTTAGGAGATATTGTCTGTAATGGCTTTTCTTCTAAAATATTTGACTGAAGTCTGTTTAATACATTACTGTCTTTTCAGTTAGGTATGTTATCCAAGAAGACTAGGAATGAAGTTAATTGTGTGCCACGAGGGCGGGGAGGGGGAGCAAACAGCCCCCTAGGACTTATTAAGCTTTGCAAAGTATTTTAAATCAAATAATACCATTTTCTTAAAATTAATTTTGACAACCAAAAATTTATAAGATTCTAGTCTACTTGAGTCTTTGACTTTCTGTTGACCTGGAAGTTTCACGATATTGTTTTCCTGAAAAGAGAACTATAAAACATTGTGTGAGTAATGCTCTGTCATGCAAGGTGTATTGGCGGCATTCCTCCCTTTTCTTCTTCTTAGTTCTTTCTAAAGTTGTGTGCTTAATATCCTTGGTAAAATTACATTCTTGAAGGACAGGGTCCCAATTTAGAGAATGTTGAAATATATATACTTAACTGTAGTGTTTATCACTGAAATTTCATGCTATATGCTTTACACACTGAATTCTTTATTTAAGTGACATGTCATCACAACAATTTGATTGGTATTTCCGAATCTTAATCTTTTATTTGTTAATCTTTTATTTTTGTTCCTTGAACTCCACAGAGACATGGTTGTTTGTAACTGGGGGTTGGTGTGTATGTGTGTGTGTGTGTTTCTTAAATTAGGACTAAAGTAGAAAGTTAAAAACTTTCATTTTATATTAGTCCATAATATATTGAGATACAGTACACTCATTTCAGTTGGCATGAAACTTTAAAAGCAGCTTCTGGAAATATTGTATGAATGCCTCAAAATACTGCTATACTTTTATTACACAGCATGTTTTATACTGTAGAACCATGCTAGTTTGAATTATGAGATAGTAAGAGACAACATAAGGTAATAATCAACTGTAGTAATTTGTGTTTTCTTTCTGAATTAATAAACCACTTCTAAAATTGCTGCTTTATATAAATTCACTAATTGTCAATAGAATCAAATTAGAAAACTATCACTTTCTCAGCTTCCCTGCGCCTTCCTCCTTGAAGTAGAATAAATAATCTTATGGATGTCATGTTACTCTGTTCATTTCTTAAAAAACCTTAAGAAGCAGCAGAGAGAGCTTAACATCAGACTGAGGGGTGGATCCTGAATTGGCAAGAAAAAACACATATCGAGATCCAACATATAAGTGTTATCCAGGACCTGCCCAGACCAAGAATGAAAAGAAAAATTGAGTTCTTGAGTGCCTACAAACCCCACCTACTTTACAAGTCCCTGTGAACGTACTTAGGAAATACCTATATAATAGAAATAACATAAGCAGTTGTCATTAGAAGGATTGATCAAATGTGCAGGAAGACAAATCTGTTACCAACCGTAGTATTTTTTAACTTTTCTAATTATGGTTTGATTGCTGTGTGTCACCGCTGTCGTGTGAATGTATTCGTTCATATTTGTCTCTTCTAAGGGAGAGTTTCCTAAAACCTAAAGAAGGTCAAGTGCTAGGCAACATAGATAAAACTGAGGAGTCAGCTTAGAAAGCAGCTACTAGGAACATCAGATGTGGGCAAAGCAAACAGCACCTCTTATTTCTTGTATGAGTTACATGATGTCAGTTGAGCAAGACCCCCAGAAATCTGTTTATTCTTCTTAACAGTTGTGTGTATGGTTCTTACCTTTACCAAGAAACATTTCCCCTGATAGATTTCCCGTCGTACTGGGTGTGAGGGGGAAATCAATGTTTATTTTTTATTTCCGTGGTTACCTTAGTATTAAACAGTAAGGGGGTGGAAAAAAGGTCTCTGGCTTCCCCCTCCCCCCGTTGTGATGGAAACCATCCTTACTCATAATTTAATATAATTTAAAAAAGGTTTGAATATTTCTCAAAGCAGTCTTCTGCTTTATTATTTTAAATTATTTTTAATATATAATTTATTTATTTTTTTTGGTGCTTGGGAAAAAGTACTTTCCTTTAAAAAAATTCTTCTAAGGAAAATCTTAGTGACTGCAGATCAGTAAGTCATCAGCTAAAGTTTTCACAATTTTTTTTCTTGGAGAATGAGAAAATAGAGTGCTGTCTGCATTATGATGTTAGAGGTCAATTTATTCAGAGTGAGTGTAAATTTAATACGTTATTTTACTTCACAGGTGGTTTCTTTCTCCTGCTTTCAGAGTTAGCAAATCTTTTATGTGTATTTTGTTGTCCCAAATAAACACACTTGAATATGTGGAAATATCACAGAATGGTAACTTTTATTAAATGTTTTTTAAACTTAAATAAAACTCATGGATATAAAAAAGGGAAATATTATTTGGTTTGTAACACCAGGTGTAACAAAAAGACCTTGGCAGAAGAGGAGCAAAAGATCTCAATTGTTCTCATCTATTATATCTTAATCACTTCTGACAGATGTTTGCCTAACCTGTTTTTAAAACCTTCCAGTGATGGATATTCCACAACCTGCAAAGGCAGCCTGTTCAGTCTATTACTGTTACTTGAAAGTTTTCCAAAACTCAAATCTTGCATTCTTTTTGATGTCTGCATCAGACCTGGTGAACAGTTTAGTCCCATTCTCGTACCAGCTTGCTTTCTGTTTGAAGAATGAGACCAAGTCTCCCATTTATCTTCTCTTCTGTAGACTAAACAGCTATACTTCTTTCAAGCTTTTTGATCTTCTTTGAAGTGTCTTTAAGAAGCTGAGAGACAGGAAAGGGGAATCTGAACAAAGGCAGATCTCTGTGGCAGTTGTAGGGAGTCTTGAGTATGTATGAGTGCAATGTTAGTATTGCTTGAGCAGCTGAGACAGTGTGCCTATAATAAAATGTGTCTAGTCAAGATTTCCTGACTTGCTTCTCCTTTATTTACTCCTGTTTCCCTCACACTTGTTTTCTAGAGAAATTGCAAGTTTGAGCTGACTTTTGTTTTTTTAACTGGAGTGGGGAGGCATGGCAGGGTAATAAGTTCCCACATCAGAAGTTGTTTTCTGTAGTTTTTTTGGTGTGGTGTTAATTGATTAAGTCATTAGTTGCCCTTGGGCAAATTTTCTAATGGCGAAGTCCATAACAAGCATGAAATATTTTGCAAGCAGGTATTTTCCTCCTGAAAATATAGCCCCTGTCGTTCCAGTCAATTGAATAGATCTGATAAATGGAACAAGGGAAAGTGGTTTTTGAGCGTAATAAAAATGTGCTAGTTTG